CTACATGGTAATAAGGTAGTAATTATATTTAATAAATGTTTTATTAACTTGTAATTACATTTAATAAATATTTTTATTACCTTGTAATTACATGGTAATAAGGTAGTAATTACCATTTAATTACATTTTTATTTAGCTTGTAATTACATGATAATAAGGGTACCGTAAACAAAAGCGTTACCATTTGTTGTTGTTGGTCCAGGGAGTTAAACTGGCAACTTTCTGATCACAGGCTCATTTTCTCTAACCTCTGCGCCACCACTTGATCAGCCATCATTAATCAAGATAAACTGTAAAATCTAGAAGTTTAGAGCCCAGATGAGTGTTTTTGTTTCCAGTTGCAAACCATCAACTTGTACAACATGGATAAGAAACATTTMTGTATCCTCTCTCGGTTGTTTCTTGTTGCTAACAGCTAAAGTCGGGGACCTGGAGGACAGCATCAGCGAGGTCTACCAGCACAGCAAGGACAACCGCAAAGAGATCGGGCGTCTAGAAGGTAAAACGCCTTAAATCTGTTTCCTGTAACTGGGCTTTTAAAGTGATAAAAACCATCAAATAACTGTGTGAATGAGCAAAGATCCAATAATATTTTCATAATAAGTCGTATTCTATGTCCCGTCACTCAAAAATCATAAATCATAAACTGATACAAGCAAAGCATTTCTGTGTCCTGTTTGATTTAAAACTCCACCTGCTTGTTGGTGAGATGATGAAAAGAGCACGAGGCAACATGTAACACGTCTGTTGTGTTTCATGCAAATAACTCAGATTTGCATGCAAGAGGAACACACCTSTGCTGTCTTCAAAAAACAACTTTACAAAATAAAAGCATGAAGGGAAAAAAATCAAAGGGCACCTGTGGTTTTGTCATACTTGAGGGGAAATTACAGCGTTGCAGTGTTGTTGGTTACTAAGGTACAATAACAGAAACAGCTCTGGGTGGAAGATCGCCAAAATAAAATCAATTGAACYCAACTCAGCCTTGTGACATGTTTGAGCTTGTTTCTGCTCAGGGGGGTTTAAAAAACCACAACTGTCAGGAATCAGTCTTTCAGTCTAAATCTGATAAAACTGACAGTAAACTTCTCCAGTATTTGATACTCAGGATTACGGAGGAACATTGAAGCCTGAGGGATGGAGGGAACCAAAACAGAGCTCTTTTTTATTCACTTCTCCCAATAAGAAAAATTAAAACATTGTAATGGATAAAATAATAAAATGCAACAGATCAGTCTCAGCTACTAATATACAGATTTTATACCCATTTCTGTAAAACTGACTGAGCCATTTTTGTGTGTTTAATTGTGTGACTGTGWTTAAAGTGTTTCTATAGTTGACATGAGCTTTTTTTATCCTGTACATTTGTCAGCATGTAACTGGTTCCATGTTTCTGCTGTTTCATCAGTTCATGTATGAAAGCATTCAGCTGGTTTCTGCCATGGGTGCTGTGACTTTTAGGATTTCAGCAACTTATACTTTTTTTTGTTATTTAGCTTTTTCTACCATTTTTTTTCTCAATGAAGATGAATGAAGTCGTCTTCCTTAACTTTAAAACTGATTAAAATGTTTACAAGTCTTTACTGTACTTTTATCTTTTGTTCTGGTTCTGCTTTTTTCCAACGTCTTCGTGCTACATTTCAGCTTTTTTAGCTATCATTATGCTCCTTTTTTGTTGATTKAAACCATTTTAGGCTTTAAATTTTTGTGCTGCTTATAGGTGTTTTCTGCTTTTTTGCTACTTTTTCAGCTAATTTGTTTTCATCTAAATTCAACTTTTTGTGATAATTTCAACTCCCTTCAACTTCTTTTTTTTTTTTTGCTAACTTGCTTTTTCTCTGATTTTCAGCTCTCTTTCTGCTCGTTTCAGC